AAGGTAATAAAGGATAATGCATTTGGTCAGTCAGTGTTGATCCAGTTCTGTTGTAAAGATCATCAATTATTACGAATGATAATATTGTGGAATATTATATTAAATGTCCCCAGCTTATGAAGCCAGAGCCACAGCTCAATGGATTCAATGTTTGATTGGGAGCCGATGCACAATATCTGTGTGTGTGTGAATCACCAAGAACAGCCAGGAATCTCATATTTCACTGCTAATGCAAAAAAGAGATTTTTTCTTTTTGGATGAAAGTTTTTTTGTTTCTTATTTTTTTCCGACCATTAAGGTTATTATGCATCTTGACCTCATTTACAACTTTCTAATTTTTATATATATATATATATATATATAGCTGTCAAATCGCATCTAATATTGAAGTTTGAAAGTATATTATGTAATATATATATATATATATATATATTTGAAGAGTTCAGATGCAAAAGCCTCTAAGTGCCATTTGAAATTTTCTTCTTTAATGATGATTTTTATCAAACTTGTATATTTAAGTTCAGTAATTTCACTTAAATGGCAATGATAATTACTGAACTTAAATATACAAGTTTGATAAAAATCATCATTAAAGAAGAAAATTTCAAATGGCATTTAGAGGCTTTTGCATCTGAACTCTTCATATATTAAACTTTTTAAAGCGTCTTGACTTATTTTCATTCAAATTAAACTGTTTGCCTCAACTTTTCCATATACACACACACACACACTTAAGTTAGATGCGATTAGTCGTGATTAATGGGTTTGACAGTGCTAATGTTTGATGTGTGTTATTTGATGATGTAATTAAAGCCTTTACGCTGCGCTGAAACTGTTACGGGGAATTGGAGGGAAAATATTTTAATGAAAATGTCACAATGCATAAAATCTTAATGTTGCTAAATTAGAATTAATGTTTATGCAAAATATCATTTATTCTTTCCCTGGCAAAATTTTTTTATAAATTTTTTTAATCTGTATTTTAGCCGTATTTTTGGATAATAAGGTCCCGTTAATTACCGTCACGATCAGTTGTGTTGTGTAGTTAAACGATGTTCACTCGCAGGACTGTGTAGTGTGTTGTGGTGTGTAGTGTAGTGTGTTGTGTAGTATAGTGTGTTGTTGTGTTGTGTAGTGTAGTGTGGGGTGTGTAGTGTGATTTCTGTGCCGGAACATGACCTGAGATACAGAAACAGTGTGTGTGTGTGTGTGTGTGTGTCGCGTCTGGTAAACATGCGGCGGGTGTTATGCAAGTGTCACACAGTGGTTCAGTGTTTGTGTAATTGTGTTTGAGAGCCGCAGCTGGCGAGTCTGACAGGAGCGTCCCGTGGACAGAGTTCGGGAGGTTCAGCTTTACTGAGATCTGTCATGATATGAGGAATATTTCAGCTTATGATCGTTCATAATTCATACGATCGGGACGCGAGTGTCTCTTCAGGACGGGTGCAGATCAATTATTGGAGAGGATCGACTGCAGGTTTAAAGTTTCTGTTGTTTCACACAACTAAACACTTCGGGCTCTTTAGACTTATCAGTAAAACTGTTGAAATATATCAAAGCATCTGTTCAAAGGAGCCGATTCACATGAGCCGATTCATAGAGAAATGTGACATTTGATGTGTTAGTCAATGCTAATAATCATTCAGTGCCATGGAGGATTAAGAATACATTTACAGTATGATTGTGTCGTTTTGTGAGGGTTAATATGAATATGTCCATAATTTGTTCACATATGGATCAAAGATAAATGCATGCGCTTTATAATTATTCAGCTTTTAAGGAACGTTTTGCCTGAAGATCCGACATTCTCATCGACGGTTTATAAAAACACAGGTTGCACTGGTTCGTTTGCCGCATATCGAGTGAAACAAGAACAAATGTGGGCGGGGCTTGCTTGTTATGGTTTGCTATTGGCTGATCTCCTGTGAGTGACAGGTTATAGCCCCGCCCACATCATCGTCAGAGGAGAGAAGAGATGGGACTGTTATTACTGTGATTGGAGTTAGTTTGTTTGATTGTTTTATTTCTAGTAGCCATATATATATATATATATAACCATGGTAACCCTTGACCTCTTGATTGTGACGCTCCTCCTTTCTTTAATCTGCAGGGCGGATGTGTGGATTCAACCAATCAGAGCTTGGCTCTCCTGTACATGACTTTAGGCCAGCAAGACGTCTCTAAAACCCTGTTAGGACCGCTCTCGCCCTACACGTAAGCACACACACACACACACACACACACACAGTGACAGCAATATCAAGTGTTCAAGTCAAGTACAAAAATAATCAAATGTCTTTTAAAAAAATGTACGTGTGATGTAACTCGACACCCTCGCCTCATTTAGTATGCGCGGTTCTATGAATATGCAAATGAGTTGCAACACGTTGATCTGATTGGTTACAGGCTGGTACCATCTGAAGCAATAACCAGGTCAGAAAAATAATGTTAAAACAAGACATATTATCTGATGGCATTTGACTACTTTAGTAAATGCGTCTTTGGATTAAGGATTTGTAGATATCTGGACTGGAACAAGACGAGAATACCCAGAAGATCACGTTCTCCCGTCCTCATCACCCCGGAAGTGTTCTCTGCGTCATGAATTGTCCATGTTCAGTTATCATGGTACCGGTGCTGTGTGTCTGTCGAGTACAGTACTATGATAACTGAAGATTGACGGTGCCAACACATGTCTGAGCTCCAGTGGATCGACTCCGGAGGAACCTCCCTCGTGTGTGTGTGTGTGTGTGTGTGTGTGTGTGTGCTATAAATGGTTAAAGTGTCTCCTAGAACAGGTTCACATGCATTGAAGGTCAAAAACACTGTCATTTCCTCAGTGTCTGAAACGCCTCCATCAAAGACTCAAGTCTCTCTAAGCCCCGCCTCTCTGAGAGATGCTCTGCTCTGATTGGTCATTATCATATCTGGATCTGATCGTCATAATTCTGATGTAAAGTCAAAGCTGACTTGTCAAAATTGCGTCAAAATAGT